ATTCAGGTGAGTATAATTGCTACTACCACTTAGAAACACAATTTGGCATTATCTACTGAAGTTAAACATATGCATGCCAGATGATCCAGCAATTTCACTTTCATTCTATATGACCTGTGTACCAAAAATATCTACAAGGATATTAATGCAGCATTGGAATCGCTCTAAATTGGAAATAACCTAATGTCCATCAACAACAGAGTAGGTATATAAAGTGTGATATATTCACATGCTATTTGACAAACTGCAAATTAAATGCAATCATTAAGCATGAATTTTAAGTAAAGAAGTCAGACACAAAGTAATATGTAACATATTATATAATGTTCAAAGTAGTTCTGAACTGTAGGGGTAAAAATCAAGATAATGTTTGTTTATCTTTGATGAAGTAGAAATGGGATGAAGGAGTATAAGGTTTCTGTAGCACTAGAAAAATCTTTTGACCTGAATGACAGTTACCCTGGTATTTGATTTTGTATGATTTATTGTTTATGCACTTTTCTGTAAGCACCACCACATACATTAAATTTAAAAGAAACTAATAATAATTCAAAATTATTTGGGCTTCCAAGAAACCCTGCTTTTCATTTAGGGGACCATGAGAAAACACACACACCATCCAAAAAAATTAAAAATAAACAAACTTCTCATTATTTACTGCTGAGAGTGTCAATTGATTTCCCAGTTGGTATACCTTGCCATATGTGATGCAAAATATTTTACTACAGTAATCATAATCATTGTAGAATATTTTTTTACAAATTTACATGTTAGTTGCAAAGTGGTTTAAGGTAAGATTTGTTATTGTCCAGTTAATATAGCTCCGAGGTACTTGACATATTAAAATTCATATGTCTTAGAAAATATATGTATTAGAAAAAAGAGAGGCAGAGAAGAAGGAAAGAAATGTCATGTAGGGTATCTAACATTTTTCACTAAATACGTTTATAAACATACTTTCTTTCTCATCTATTCTAACTTTACACTGTACCATATGCACACAAGAGAAACTTGACGATTTTGCATGATAAGTACCTTTAGGTATTTCAGATGGTGTTTTTCCTGGCCATGTGCATACCTATTGTTGCTTTTCTAGTATAAACTTGGATCTATGAAAATGTGATGATAATGACCAAAGAAAAACATGTGCAAACAATTCTGAATAAAAGAAATGAAAGCCTCCTAATGAAGTTTCTCTAACATGTAATTTTAAACTACTTTAAAGGATCATAGTTGCTTGTGCCAGTGTAGCATGTTTTAAAGTGTCATGCTATTTTGATGATCAGGATTTGGTTTTGGTGCTTTCAAATAGTGTTAGCAGTATAATAAAATTCACTGTGAGTAATTTTTTTATAATTTAAATAGAGTCATAAAATAAATCACACTATACCAAATAAATTAAACTCCAGATTTTCTATTAAAATTCCTTTTTTAGGTTTGAAGAATTTTAATTAAAATATGCCTATTACATATAAAAGAGTCATGAGTCATTATTGGATCTTGGGATTTTCACATTATAGCAGAAGGATGTGATAGTACAGAGATAAAAAATTATAGGGTGGAACTCTGAAGTATTCAAAGTGATTTCTTATGGAGCAGAATGTAAAGTATACAAGATTTTACTCTAACTCCATATCAAAATAAAGTAATGACACTCTTATTTGTGAAACACGTAAAATGGAAGACTTTATGAGATGCTTGTTACTTCTATGGGGGAAAAACTGGGTTTATGACCAAAGTAAATGGAAACTTTCAAAACTCCATATTACCATTTTCCATGAACATCTGTAAATACTATAAAAAGTACCAGGCCAGATTATACGTCACCTTAGACAGTTCCACAATTGAAAGTTACTGACTTTAGTTGTTCCAACTTCCTCAGCCACAACAAATAGTCAGAACTTTGGCAGAAATCTTGAAAAGGAAAGAACCCAAGCCATTGCAACAGCTCTTTTCTAGTTTCGTTCCTTCCCTCACCCACAACAGGCATGTCTAATGATCTGGAATGTACTTTCTTAGCTAAGGCAATTGCAAAAATCCATCCCCCCCTCCCAAGAGAATTCATGACCCATGTTTTTTCCCAATCTTTCAAAAACAGAGCAGACTTGAAACTTTTGAATAATTTGCACCTTTTCCAACTAGGAAGCCCACTTGACCGAAAAATGAAGCATGACTTAGAAAGAATTGAACTTTTTAAAATTTCTGTCTGATGTTAAATATTTTAACAGATCAACAGGTCATTAGTTTGATATATGTACTCAGGAGGGAAAGGTAGTTTTGTGATGGTCTAAAGCTAGAAGAGTTGTTTTCATATCCATAAAAATGATAGGAAATATCTTTGGTAAATCCAGTAGCATTTGCCTGACTCTAAAGTTACAAGTGCTTTACCAAAGTAAATTATATATCTCATTGAGCTATGCACAAATGCATTAAAACTACCATAAAATCTAAACTAAAGCTGCCATTCAGCAGTAATCTAAATGACTTGTGAGACAGAGCATGAGCATTTTTATTTCAGATTGAAAGGCAATTGTATGTCTAACAGAAACAGCATCTTGGTGCTTCAGAAAGAAAGGAATTGCTGACTGTTCTCTGTATTTTCCTTATTTACATAGAATTGAATGTAAAATTAGTATGTATCTAACATGACGTTCTGCCAAATAGGACTAAATTCAAGCAAGTGAATGATAATAAAGAGAAAGATAGGTGAGAATTAGGAAGGGGCCTTTTGGAAGTGGTTTCAAGCAGGTGGTTTGCCAAAAAGAAGTCAGTGCATGTAGTGCTGGTGCCTGAATGAAAGGAGGTGATGTGTCTGCATTAAATACATGGTGGCATGCTGACTGAGACTTGATACTGCTTGTCAGATGTCTGTATTTTTTACCTGAACTTCAAAAGCTATTTCATTGTAGTATGAGAAGAGCAGAAGGTCTTGGGTTCTGTGACTGGTTATTGTTTTGAAAAGGAAAGAAAATTACCTTTCATTTTCTTTCTATTGGTGTTAAATCCCCAGTAGAGGTTGGAAGGACATTCCAAATCACTGTAACTGCAGCAAGGAGATTTTGAGTTTGTAACTTCTGCCTAAGCTGTCCAACTGCTCTCAACATCCTACAAAAAAAAAAAAAAAAAAAAAAAAAAACTGCAAATAGAAGCCTAGAAAAAAACAGTTTAGCAAAAATGTTTCAATGTTTCTACTTGCTTTGAACTCCTAAGCAAAATCAGATTTATCTTTTAAGTATTTACCAAAAGGTGTTTTGAAGTCTGTGCTAAATGAAGCCTTGATTTCCCCTGGCCCCAAAGGGATATCTGTGTTTAGAATAATAATTCCTATGAATTTTGTGGTAATTTTTATTATTTGTATGCAACTTATTTTAAAAAAATGGACAGGATCATCTGATGACATATACTGTGTCAGAGGCTCAACTGAAACTTGAAACAAGAGGAAACCAGCCATGCTAGGCATCCTCTCATTTACAACCTAATGGGGTTGATCACACAAACAGAATTCTCACAGTCTGGATAGGCTAAATACAATAACAAATGCTCAACATTTTAGTGGTATAAAGAACCAAAGTTTAATTCTCATTTACATAAAATTCCAATGCCAATAGAGGTCCCAAGTCAGAATAGGATGATGGATGATTATCTATTTGACAATGTAGTGTAGAATTTATTAGTGAAGTTGAGAGGTGATCCTGAAAACTATAACTGAAGAGCGAACTCTTTACATTTTTATGTCTTTTCTCATATATGTCCACAGGGATTAACCTGTGAATGCAGGACTTTGTATGAGATGGTTGTCAGACTAGGTCTGATAATGACATCTATATCCATCTATATTCCATTGTGAAGAATTCAGTCACATTTTCACATACACCTGCAAGATGTAGCCTGACTTTGTAAAATGAGGAAAGAGAATGGTTTGGTTAACAACTAGCCAGTTTTTGTAACCGAGGCAATACAGTGAGATGTGATATAAGTGAACAGAGCTGTTGGAGCATCTATGGAAATACATCTAAGTAAAACCTGCAGAGTCAGGGTGTAGGGTAAATAAAAAGTATCAGGCTTTTCTGCTCTCCTGCCATTAGAATTGATGGATCTGCAGTCCTGAATGCATGCCTGATTGTGGGCACCTGAAATAGGGTGTGGGCATATGTAGATGGGATTCACCTGTGCTGAGAGACTGGGCTTATAAGGGTGGCGTCACGGGGACGCCAGTAGAGCAGAAGAGTAGAGAGCAGAACCACAAGAACAAAACAAATGGAAGAGCAGAGAACCAGAGAACACCAGAGAGCCCAGAAAGAGTGAAGACTTGCTGGGGGCTGGGAGGCCTGCCAGCCTCCCGGCCCCCCAGCACCCTTGCCTGCTGTGTACCTGGTAAATCCCAATAAAAGCCTGAAAAGCCACTGAGGGCTCCAGGACTCCTCCTTCACCCCATCTGCTCGGATTATAGAGATCCTGCTCCGTGTCCTCCTGCCACTACACAGGGTATGAAGGAAGACTTTCTGCATGAAATGACAACTACCCAGGGAGCTGAAGGAGAATAAGAGTTGGACATATGATAAACAACTGAAAAGAAAGTGGTCTAGAAGGAAGCGCTCAGTTCCAAAAAGAAAAAGAATGGATATTTTGATATGAATTATGTAATTTCAAGAAACAACAAACTAAGCCATTTAGTAGCTTTGATGAAGTAATGGTAAGGAAGCAATTAAGTGTTTTTATGCTATACATGATAGTCTCAGTCCAAAATTTTAATAATAGTCAATATCCATTACTACATTTGGAAAGAAGAGATGTTCATGTTGTTTTTGGCTTTTCATTATTTCAACTAAAGTTTGTTAACACTTAAAACTGATATCAGCTTCTCATGAAACTTCTGATTTTCCACCTCTTTGTTCTCATTCCCCCATTTTAAAAAAGGGGTGACTGAAATAAGGTATATTGAAGACAATTTAGGAATTAAAATATTCTTTTTTTTTTTTTTTTTCATTCTGTCTTACCAGGTTTTGAAGATCTCAAGGCCAGGGACTGTGTCTGAAAATACCGACAGTCATTAACAAAGGTAAGTGTATAACTTAGCTTATAAAAACTCCTGTGTTTCTTGGATCTTAGTGCCTTCTATATTGTTGGTGCTCAACAAATAATTGGTTTGGAAAGATGGGTGGATGAATGGGGAGATGGAATATTCAGGCATTTATGTTCTTTGCACCAGTTGTTCTTACAAAACATATTAAAATTGAGTTGTCTTTTACTCTGACCAGTTTTTCTTTTGTAAATAAAAGGACAACATGGTCCAAAAACAATGGAAAATGTAGGAAATGATCTGTTAAGGAAGGATTTATGTTGCAGTTCTGAATCATGGATGATATCGGTCATGGATGTGTAGGAAATTTAACAATGGGTTAAAGTTGTGGATCAGAGAGGCAGATGCCTATAGATTTAAATGTTTGAATTTAGCTGCTGCTGCTATGAAATTATTAGCCCTTGACAGTCATCTTGCCTGCATAATTTATTTTGGCTCCTCTAAAAGTTATAAAGCTATTTATTGTTAATAAGGGACTAAAGTGATAAAACAAATTAGCTAATAGATAGGTTAGTTTTTTTTTTTTTCTCCTGTGGGACCCTCGCCAGTGGCCGGGGATAGAACTGGTGCTGCAGAGGCTGCGGGCAGCCTCGCAACCCAGTGCTCAACCACTGCGCCACCAGGGAAGGCCCAGGTTAGCATTTTTAAATGGCTAATCTCTGGTAAACAATCACAGGAATCAGATAATGCCTACAGTTCTCAGTATTTGGCAGCAAAAGTTTTGCTATTAACGTAGCTGTGTTACCTTACATACCCTCTATCTAATATATACAATTCATGTATTATAGTTTTTGATAAAAACCTCTACTTTTTTTCCTGCCTATTTTTAATAGTATGTGTAAGGGCAGGATGGCCCTGTGCAGGTTTTCTGACCCAGCAGACCGGGTAAAGGAGGAGTCCTGGAGCCCTCGGTGGCTTTTCAGGCTTTTATTGGGCTTTACCAGGTACACAGCAGGCAGGGATGCTGGGGTGCTGGGAGACTGGCAGGCCTCCCAGCCCCCAGCAAGTCTTCACTATTTCTGGCCTCTCTGGCATTCTCTCTGCTTCTCTACTCTTCTCATGGTTCTGCTCTCTGCTGGCATCTCCATGACGCCACCCTTATAAGCCCAATTTTAGCCCAGGTGAATCCTGTCTACATAGGCCCACACCCTACTCCAGGTGCCCGCCATCAGGCATGCACTCAGGACCTCAAGGATCCATCATCACTCCTAATGGCGGGAGGGCAGAAAAGCCTGATACTTTACCTTACCCTACAGTATGCTTTTAATTTTAAAATGATATTTTAATAATGCCTATGTTCTTTCTGTAGGATATTTGCTCTGTTATTTCATTATTTAAAATTATTACCTAGTATAAAACCCTGATTGTTTTATAAGTTCAAATAATTGCTCTTTCTTTTTTTTTAAGATTCATTTATTTATTTATTTATTTATTTATTTATTTATTTATTTATAAAAGCACTGGGTACAGTCAGAAGTGCGGGAGGGTGAGAGAATTCACCAGAGACAAAGCAGGGAGCAGAGCAGGCAGAGGGACCAAAGTACACTGCTGAAGGGAGCAGTGGACGGCAGAAGAGGTCTGCGCGCCATGTGGGACCCTCCTCCGGTGGCCGGGGAGCAGCCGGGGATCGAACCGGGGCTGCAGAGGCTGCAGGCAGCTTCACAACCCAGTGCTCAACTGCTGTGCCACCGGGGAGGCCCTAATTGCTCTTTCTAAATACAAATTTTATAGTGTTCACAAAGTTTAAAGGTCTTAAGCATTTCACCTACTCTCATCTAAAAATTTTGCATACCTTACTTAAAGAATACCACCTGTTATCCTGATTTCTAGGGTGATAATTCTTAAGACTCTAAGAAAATAGAAGATAGATAGATGGATAGATATGTAGGCAGGTAGGTAGGTAAACAGCCAGATATAAAAGGGATACAGGTATCTCTCGGAAACCAAAAATACCATTGAAGTAAAATAAGATTCAAATTAGACAAGAAAGGCGGAGACAATAGTAAAGTATTTTAGGCTGTTAACCTGTTTTCCATTCAGTTCCTCATTGTTTCTCTTTTCTATATTAATATTTAGCTCACCTGAGTCATAAAGGTTTCTTGCATACCCTTGATTAAAATAATGCTATCATCTTCTGAACTCGTGTGTCTTTGTTCTTGACTCTCATGATAGTAATGATTATGTTTTATGATTCAGCAATTTGTATGGAATCAGTTCCCATTTTCTGAGTATATTATGCTCCAGAGTTCATTTAAAAACCAGTTGTTTGGGAATACAAAGTATTTATTCCCATAGAAGAAGTAGTATAAGTGGATGTTCTTATTTTCATTTAGGTTCTATTTCTGTGTGATCTAGCACTAAATAGAAATATTTCAAATATATTGTTTTTATGACATTGCTCCTTCAGGACAAATCAATTGTATTTTAAGGGACAAATTGCATAGACTCTGAAACTGACTTTCCTGAATCCTCTGCCACTCACTAGCTGTTTAATCTGAAGCAAATTCAAAGTTTGTGTGTCTCTAAAATGGAGATAGTAATAGTACCGACTTTTGCTGGCCATTACAAAGGTTAAGTGAATTTGTATATGAAAAGTGCTTTAAAATAATACTGGACATATTAGAGAGTATGTAGTCTATAGGTGTATCATTATCCTTTTCGTATTTTCAGTTTCAGAAATTTACCTGTTCATGTACAGACATGTTTGAGTGGATATATGCAATGCCTTTTAGAGTTCTAGAAACAGGATGCCAGAATATAGAACAGTCTTTCACAGTTAGAAAGAACATAACTACCTCTTCTGTAAAAAGCAAAACAAATATTTCTTTTTTTTTTTTTTATGTTTATTTTTTTATTTATTTTTTTTTAAATATTAAATTTTATTTTTATATTCCCCCATACAATTGCAAACGCCCCATTCTGACCCCAATCCTTCCCCTCCCGCCCCCCACCCCCCAAAAAGTGTCTCTGGTTCATAGTTTTTGGTTGATTTTGATTTTCACTTTCTTATATTCAATTTCCTGGTCCCTTATTTAAGTTTTCTAGATTCCTGCTATGAGTGAGACCATCCGGTATTTTTCTTTTTCTTTTTGGCTTATTTCGCTGAGCATGATCCCTTCCAGTGCCATCCATGTTGCTGCAAATTGCATGTGTTTATCTTTTTTGAATGCTGAGTAATATTCCATGGTATATATGTACCACATCTTCTTGATCCAGTCATCTATTTTTGGGCATTTGGGTTGTTTCCAAAGCTTAGCTATTGTAAACAGTGCTGCTATAAACATAGGAGTGCAGGTGCTCTTTGGAATTGATGTTTCTGTGTCCCTTGGGTAAATACCTAGGAGTGGAATTGCTGGATCATATGGAAGCTCTATGTTTAGTAGGTCCAGAAATCTCCACACAGCTCTCCATAGTGGTTGGACCAGTTTGCACTCCCACCAACAGTGCACAAGAGTTCCTTTTTCTCCACATCCTCGCCAACATTTGTTGTTGCTAGTTTTTTTAATATGTGCCATTCTCACTGGTGTGAGATGGTATCTCATGGTAGTTTTGATTTGCATTTCCCTGATTACAAGTGATGTTGAACATTTTTTCATATGTCTGTTGGCCATTTGCATTTCCTCTTCAGAGAAGTTTCTTTTTAGCTCTTCTGCCCATTTTTTGACTGGATTATTTTCTTTGTTGTTGCTGAGTCTCATCAGCTCTTTGCAGATTTTTGTGATCAGTCCTTTATCATTAGTGTTGGGTGCAAAAATGTTCTCCCAGTCGGTGGGGTTTCTCTTTGTTTTTGTTATTGTCTCTTTTGCTGTGCAGAAGCTCTTTAATTTGATGTAGTCCCAGCTGTTTATCTTTCTCTTCACTATCACTGCTTTGGGTGATGTGTCTGTAAAGATGTCTTTGATGTGCAAATCCCGTAGTGTTTCGCCTATATTTCCTTCTATGTATTTTATGGTTTCAGGTCTTATGTCTAGTTCTTTAATCCATTTTGAGTTGATTTTTGTGTATGGTGTGAGGTAGTGGTCAAGCTTCATTCTTTTGCATGTAGCGACCCAGTTTTCCCAGCACCATTTATTGAACAAACTTTCTTTGCTCCAATGCATAGTCTTTGCTCCTTTGTCAAAGATTAGTTGACCATAAATCTGTGGGTTTATTTCTGGATTTTCTATTCGATTCCATTGGTCTGTATGTCTGTTCTTGTTCCAATACCATGCAGTTTTGATGATTATGGCTTTGTAGTATAGTTTGAAGTCTGGGAGTGTGATGCCTCCATTTCCTTCTTTTTTTTTCAGTAGAGCTTTGGCTATTCGGGGTTTTTTGTGATTCCATATGAATTTCATCAATAATTGTTCTATTTCTTTGAAGAATGCCATTGAGATTTTGATTGGAATAGCATTGAATCTGTATATTGCTTTTGGAAGGATGGACATTTTAATAATGTTTATTCTTCCAATCCATGAGCAGGGGATGTCTTTCCATTTCTTTGTGTCTTCTTCTATTTCTTTTAACAGTGTTTTATAGTTTTCTTTGTATAGGTCCTTTACCTCTTTTGTTAGATTTATTCCCAAATATTTGATTTTTTTTGTTTCGATAATAAAAGGGGTGGTTTTTTTGATTTCTTCTTCTTCAGATTTATTGTTTGTGTATAGGAAGGCTACTGACTTTTGCGTGTTGATTTTGTATCCTGCCACTTTACTGAATTGATTGATGAGTTGAATTAGTTTTTCTGTGGAGATTTTGGGGTTCTCTATGTATATTATCATATCATCTGCAAATAGTGATAGTTTGACTTCTTCTTTTCCTATTTGGATTCCTTGGATGTCTTTCTCTTGTCTTATTGCTCTGGCTAGGACTTCCAGTATTATATTGAAAAGCAGTGGTGAGAGTGGACATCCTTGTCTTGTTCCAGATCTTAATGGAATTGCTTTCAGCTTTTCACCATTGAGAATGATACTGGCTGTTGGCTTGTCATAGATGGCCTT